ATATTACACACATACATACACACACACACACTTCTATATATCTATAGATAGATATGGAACTGTTAAGTAGAGGAAACCACAAAGAGGCTGGATGGTTAAAACAATGTGTGAGATGGCTGAAAGGAGACTAAGGAAGGTGTGTTAGTAGGGAGGGGTGAGAGGTGGCATCAAGAGGTGGCACGTAAGACGGGATAAGGGACCCACCTATTACACAAAATTCTGATTATTAATTTATCCTAATGTTTTTGATTTTCACACCTGATGTTCTTCTAGTTTCAAAGAGTGGTTTGATTTGGTTCAGCATAAAGTGTTTTATAATTGATTCAATTTAAAACTTAAATTAATTTTTCTTTAAACTGAAATAAGGATGATGCAAAACCTTCTGTGAACAATTTCACTGAATTAGTTTGAAATCTCTTTTAGGCAAACCAGTGGAACTCTCTCTTGTAGAAAAAAAATCTTGCTGCTATACCAAGAATGAAAATCTGTCTCAAGATCAAGTTGAATTTTCTAGGAAGTATACTTATATTTTTATAGGTTTACTATACCTAAAAGCATATGCACTGAGTTGTGGAATTTCTAGACCCTTCTAAGAAAACTGTGAATCCACTTGTCTTCATTTCCATTCTCAAAAGGTTATTTTCAATTAAATTCTTTCATCTTGACCAGTTCTTGGCTTCATTGGTATTGTAGGAGTGTAGTAGAATAGAATAAAGCCAAGCATTTTCATATAAGCACTCTGTCCCCTTGCCTTTTTCATTAAATTACTGGGATTTAAAATGTTCTTGATTTAGCTGGTCCAAATCAACAAAATAATATAAAATATATCAAATTAATTTTTCATCTAAAATTAAAATTGAAATAGTTTCATTCAAAAGCACGCTGATTGGATTTTCTATTTCCAGACATGATTAAGGTGATATGGTAAAAGATATGACTCTGCCAATGAGCTTCTATTCTCCTGTGTAATGCTCCTGTTAGTCCAGCATTGGGCGGGCCCCTCAATGGAGATGCTGTACAACAAAGTTGTTTTGACCAAACCCATGTTTTAACAACATTTTCTTTTAAGTGAATGGCTACTGCAGGAACATATGGCACCTTTGTGCCCCTCTCTTATCCATTATATATGGATGGATGAGCAGGAAAAAATAAATAAAAACAAAACCCAAGCTTCTTCTATGCCAATCATTTGTCAAGTAGCTAAAATAGACAACTATTTTTCTATTAGACACTTATTAGACACTTCAAATATCAGAGGGAATAACTGTATTTCCCCAGCTTCCTAGGCTGCGCTTTCTCTATTCAGACACTTGCAAAATTCCCAAATACCAATGCTAGGAAACAAATCTACCGCAATCCTGCATAGTTGACTAATATCCCATTCTTCATACTTGACCCTATAGCAACAGCACACAATTTATCCTATGGGTAAGAAGTGGATTCTATGAGCTGTGATATCAACCTGCTTCCCACCAAAACTGAGAATCTCAATTTGCCAAATATAAAGCAAAAAATAAAAAGGCAGTTAGATTTATCCCCCTACCCTCCCCTCTCCACCAAAAACCCACACTCTATATATCTGCTATTTGTTCGTGTGAGCTACTGCAAAGGCAACTGACTGGACAAAGAATTCACTGTAAAAATGCTGTCTTGCTTACTAAGAGCATGTTTCTAAAATCACTGATCTAGCAAATAGTTAGAAGTAAAACATGCACCTACTGGTCTGAATGATTTGAAGACTTTTTCCAGTATTTCATGGAGTGTCTTTTTCCCACAGGAAGAGATGTAGTCCTGTGCCAGCTGCAGAAAAGGTAAGCAGTCCTCACTTTCACTCCACACGTGCTAAAAGCCAATAGCAATGAAAGAAACAGCAGTATGAAAAAAATCAGTGTGAACTTCTGATTTGAAAAAGTGACATGATTTAAGGGTGCACTAAAGTATACCAAGCTGACAATGGAAATTTCTTAAGGATATGTACGTTGTCCTGTTTCAAATGTTAGATGTGGTCCCATATTTTTAAAGCAGCTTTCAGAGATACAACTTGGCTATACTGGCACAATACACTGATGGGGGAAGAGGGGTGAGAAAGGCCTGAAAACAAATCAGAAAATAGGTCTGAATAAGGAATCAGAACATCCCAAGTACCCAGGTCCCACCTATACACTACATGGATTTAAACAAAAACCTTGACTTGCAAAACAACAGCCCTGAAAATTCAACTTGGATTGTGAAAGTAAAGAGCAATGGTGCCCTCAGTGACAGGGATGCAATCTCATTTTTACTGGTTTGCGCAAGTAATGGACCATGTAAATGGAACTTAGTAATTAATTCTGATACACAGGAACCAAGGAAAATTCATAACTCATCCACAGGTCAGTCAGACTTCCTAACTTGATTCTATGATGCTCTAAAACTTCTCCTCAAACTGCTGCATATTCTGCCAAGATAATTTTGCTGGAAGTCTGTGTACAAGTGCTGATGAAAGTGTTAAAGCAGTGATATCACTTGCAAAGAACTACAGGGCTCAAGCAGTGTTTAGTGAATACTTGCTAAATAATTTTCTCATAAATTCTAGGCCAATCACAACATTACTGAGATTCATAAGGACAGAAGCTTAACTCTTCATGAACATGTAAATATTACATCTGCTTTTTTGCATGCCAATTCTTTTTTTCTCCAGTGCCATGAATCTAATATATCTTGTATTGTGTCAGAAAGAGTGGGTTATGCTTCAATAGGATTTTTCTGAAATCCAACTAATGTTCATGAAAGAATAAAAATGCTTCAAGTCAGAATATAAAAAACACAAAATCATTTCCTGTTCAGTAAAATTAGTTAATATGGGTAATGTTTTAGGTTCACGCAATGAAGATACTGCAAAGAATCAGCTAAGCTGCCTTTTTTTAAAAGGAGCATAACCATCTTCCCATTAATTCCATTTGATGTGCATTTTCTTTGCAGCCTGTTGCATTTTGGAATCTTAAAGTGTAGTTCTGCTATGAAATGACAGTCGTAAAAAAGTGATGTTATAGCCATGATGGTCCAGAAAATATGCAAGGAAAAATCCTTGCCTCTTGTGGTAAAAAAGGCCCTTCCTCCTGAGCAGATTTGCTGCCTCTGTGTATTGAGAGCCATATCCGTCTACTTTTAATGACAAAAACAAGGCTGTGATGTTTTTCTTTATTGTTGTTGCTGTTAGGTGTTGTTTTTTTTGCAGTGTCTACATTGTCCTGAATTTATCACAAATCTTTTGATATCAGTACTTAGTTTTTGCTTTTCATGCAACAGACTCTATAATCACTTGAAAACAGCAGAATACCAGCTTTCTCTTTGCTTATGTTTATAGTCCTTAAGGTTACAAAAGGCTGAAAGGCCAAGAAGCAGATCAAACATTTGTTTACAATGGTGAGATTTTAAAGACAGTCTCATATATTTTTGGAATCTGATCCATGATATTGGAATATGTGGTGATGGCAATACAATTTTTACTATTTCAGTATCTTGTAATCCCCAAAAGATCCATGTACACCTGAATGTGAATGGACTGGATTCTATGGACTAAATTTACCATTGCCCTACACCTTCTGTAGTTGTTTATCAGAGCAGAGTGGATATACACTAGAAGCTTGATTATTGTTTAGGCCAGAGCAATGCCACCGACTTTCATGTACAAGAGGGAAGGATTTCCTTAGGTGATATCTGTTATTGAACCAACTGCATAGATGGAATCCAAGACCACCACAGCTACCACATCACTCTAAACACTACCATTTCTGGCTCCCTACCCTATGAAGATTAATTGTTATGGTTTATTACTAAGGGAAATATAATCCAACGCAGCCTACAGCCATCTTTAAGAATTCCACCACATCTTAGCTTTCAATGTGACTTGATCAGCATTTGTTCAAAATAAACTGGTCTGGGGAAAAAAATTAAAATCCAAGCAAATAACTCAGAAAAATCTTATTGTCTGCACAGTGATTTTTTTCTTCTTCTTTTGCATAGTGTGAGACAATACACGATTAAGGCATCCAACAATTTTGTCCTCTGATCATTTACAATTTTGAATGAAGCAACACATGCACGATAGTCCGAAAGTGTCATTAGTAAACAACCCATGTAGAATCAGCAGTTGCATCACACAGAAAACCCATCAGGCCCATGGCAAGAATAGTATTATAACCATATCTGTAATAGAGAAAGGTAGTTAGCTGTGTTAGTATGAAATCAGGCAGAGGAGGAAAAGGCAGGGTGGCACCTTAGAGACTAACTATTTCAGAGAGGCATAAGCTTTCATAGGCAACAGCCTACTTCATCAGATGCACCTGCATATCTACAATACAGGTGGGTCTAGCGCTCTTTCTGGAAGTTCAGTTCTGCATCTAGCCAAATTCTGGATCTGAATTTGACTTCCCTGATTCATGCATCTTGGGGAACCTGTGAAAGGAATTCAACCTTTCTTAATTAAAGGGCAAATGTAATTTGAAGGTTTGGTACCTACTTAAGAAGTTTGAGTAACATTTAAAACTGCGCACAGAGAACCCACTTTTGCTGAGAAGCCCAACAGAGCTTTGCAATAGGAAACATACTCTGCTGGCAAGATGGTTGAAAGACAAAGTTTAACTGTGGCAGAGCAGTAAGGAAACATATGTCTTGTCCTCTGAATAAGTGTTTCAGGCTACTCTGGTTTAGCTCATAGCTGCTTTGTGTTAATAAAAAAGGTGTACAGCTACCCATTTCAACCTCAAACCTCCCACGTTCAAAATTGAAATATTCAATTCAGCATCTATATGTGTTTGCTTAGGAAAGCAAAACCAAAGGAGTTCACTGGTTAGCACTTGAAGTTTTTTTTTTCCATTCAGACTTCAGCTGATTTAGCAGTACTAAATGACATTCATTTATTGCATCACTTCCAAGGCCACCTGCTGAGCATTCGAGTAGAGTATTCATCTTCACTGAGGCAATTTTGTTTATAGACACTAGTAAGACTTGCTGCTTCTGTAAGAAGATATATTATAGGAAATCATGTAATAAGGTTGTAAAAATGGTATCTGCATTACCACTTAATTTGGATACCAGAAATAACAACGAAATGACAACAGAACAGTACATGATATAAGATATCCTCACCCATACTGGGTAGGGCTTTACAGGAAATCCAATTAATTATTTTAGGGACACCATAAATTATAGAAGCAGAAGCTAATGTCCAACATTTTAAAGGTAGTTAGCCATCTAAAAATGCAACTCAGTGTCTAGAGGATTTTTTAATAAGTGATAACATACCTAATTCCCATTGAAATCAACAGCAGCTAGGTGTCTTGGTACTTCTAAAATCCCATTAGGCATCTAACTGCACTTTAGGCGCGTTAATACTTTTTAAAAAAAAAGGATCTAGCTGTCCATGATTTTTCATTTTAATTAAAAGGCTTGAGCTATAAAACAATTACAGAATGGCAGTTTTGTCCCTAAGCTTTAAAAAATGTTCATGACATGAACCACATTTTAGTGAGCAACTGCACCCTTGTGACACTTTCAGCAATTCTTCGTATGGAAAAAATAATGTTTAGAAAGTATTTAACATAAGGTTAGTTTCATTTAAAATAACCTAGTGACTGGAAATCAAAAGGAAGTGCCAGCACAACGTGACTAACCAGCTCCCTGTTGGCTGAGAGCTCTAGGGACCACTATATGGGGAATCTCTAATTTAACACCTAATTAAAAATTATTCTCCCCCAGACTATTTCTCAGCTACTTCCTACCCTAACTTGTCTTCCATTTCTTTCCATCACACTCCTCACATTAATCATCTCCTTTGAAAATACGTAAATTATTACATGTCTCTGACATCCCCTTGACACACTTTTGAAGTCAATTCCTTATTGTGAAATCAAAAAAGATGATGAAAACACCATAGGCCTGATGCTCATTTATGGTCCTAAATACCTGGGCAGTGTAAAATGGCCTTGAAGTGTGTAATTACAAATAAAATATATACATACTTGCATGTGTTTTCAGGCTCTATTATTTTTAAGGAAATACAGGACACCCCCACGCCAATCCCTACCTCAGGCAGGAAGAGTGGTGCGCAATCCAGCGCAACCCCTGCCACCAGCTGCTGCTCAGAAGGCAGGCCAGGCAGTGAGAGCAGGGTGGTGTCAATCTGGGACTTTTGTTTCCATTTTCCTTTTGTTTCCAGGTGAGAAATTAGTGAACCAGATCATTATTAGTTCTGAGTTATTGTATTAGGAAGATATCTATGTATTAGGAAGACGCTATCACCTCCTAGAACAAAAATCGGTCCTGCCTTTAAAAAAATACATATATAGTTTAAATACCTGAGATGGCAATGGCTGAGATTGGAGAAAATATATTTCTTTTTTTTTTCCTGTTTGTATACTGCATCTATTTGACAGTGCTATTTTTGCTCACTTTTACTCTGGTGGCTTTGGGTAGGGATTCTTTCACACAGCAACACTGGAAAAAAAATCATTTAAAAAAAAGAAAAAAAAAAGAAAATGTGGTTGTAAAATTGGCAGGATGTTCCGGGGCATACAAAGGCTACTTCAACTGTTTTCTTTTAAAAATGGGTTATACTACAACTTGACAGTTTCCCTTTAACTAACATGTAGTATATAATAAAATGATATACAATAGGAATAGCAAACCACGAGCTTTCTCTGTGATTCAGGGTATAATTAGGATCCCTGGATTATGGTCTAAGCACAGAGCTTGTGACTGGATTCCCAAAAACGCCTGCACTTTTGACTTCCACACATGAACACTGGGTTCCATTAGAAGGGATCCAGTTGCAGCATTTGGCCCTTTTCTCCTAATTCTACCAGGAATTACACACAGGTATAAGTGTTTGAAGGGCTGGGTTGTCAGGCTCCTGTCCTGTAACAGACCAGGTTGACTCCATTTAGGTGTAAGGCTCTGTACTAAGTTTCCAGACTGGCAGGATCAAAACCTCACCATTTTGCAGCAACTGAGGGATACTGAGTCCTTAGATTCAACTCTAAATCCCTCATCTTCTGTATTGTCATTCCACATGCCCATGTGCCCAATGCTGCAAATCAATACTTTGCCATTGGATTTTGTGGTCTTTAGGAAGTTGCTTAACTGCTCTTTGTCTCCATTTACCCATCTGCAAAATCCATCCTCCAGGCACTTACCTGGTGGAGGTTTTCTGAAGGGCGAAGAAGGGGGGGATTAATTAGTGGGTGTAAAGCAGATGGAGGGAGCTAAGGTGTTCTGCAAAGTGTCACGACATATTGGCGACACCACTGGGGGCGAGAACCGGTTCCGAAACCCATCTTTCGAACCATGCTTAACCCAAGCTGCAGAATGCCCCAGCCCTGCGGCCAGCCGCTTCATGTCGTTCCCCTCCCAAGCCTGGATGTTTGGAGACTGGGGGGAAATCAAACAATCTCCTGATTCTGAAGCCATTTGTTTTGTTGCGGCCAGGGTTGTACTTGCTGCCCAAGTCCTGCAGGCCAGGGCAGGAAACGAAGGGCCGGCGCCCGGGGAACCAGGGGTAGCCCCTCAGCCCCACGAGGAGGGGAGGGGAGGGGAGGGGACGAGGAGGGGAGGAGCCTTGCCATTTTGACTCCATTTTATTCTTATACATTCTCCATTTGCCGTGACAGGAGTGCAGCCCCCCGCACATGCACTGGTGGGGGGGAGGGTCTCCGCCGTGACAGGAGAGCAGTGCCCCCCCCGCAGCGCAGGCGCTGGGGCTGCCCTCAGGGATACCCACGGGCAGGTGCCGCCCGCCGTGCCCACACCCCCACCCCCGGGCAGGGACCCGGGGCTCGTCTCTCCCGGGGACCTGCGCCCAGGGCTCGGCTCCGTCTTGCCGCTGGGGAAGGCTCGGCCGGAGGGAGCCGCCCCAGCCCGGGCTGGCCGCCCCGCACCCCCATGACGCGGGCGCACGCGGGCCGGGGCCTGGCTCGGCTCCCAGAGCCCGGGGGGCGG